AGTGTGTCCGCAACGAATACCTTCGTAATCTATTCTTCACCATAGGTTTCAAATGGGGAAATATCGATAGTCGATCATTCACGCCTCGCCACTGAACAGAACTATTCGCCTGCGACAGATTTATTCATGTGAGAACAAGCGAAAAACTGAAATCAAAGAGCGGCAAATGACTTCCAACATTACAATACCTCTTACCTACCAAAAATGTTTTTGGTTTTTTTGTTTTGTCCTTTTTTTTTAACTACAACATTAGCCAAAAGTTCTCACCTCTCTCCCGCACAGCCCAATCCCCCCCCCCCCCCCCCCCCCCCCCCCCCCNCCACAAGCCACCTCGGAACTCGGCTTTGCTGTCACATCTCGGTAGAGATTCCTCCCCATCATTAAGTCGGAGCCCAACTCGAAAACATAATTAATGAGCCGGGCCGCGCAATATAACGGCTGGGAGTTTGTTATTTATTCTCATAGTAATTGATTACACGTAGAAGGTGGGAGTTCGGGGGAGTCCCAGCTCTGGAGGAATTATTAATCGCCGAGCTGAGACTGTGACCTGATGCTCTCGTTTATTTCGTCACGTCGAAGTCTCTTTCCACTGATGAGAACCATGGAAAATCATGCGATGGTTTCATTGCAATACGAAACATTCACAGCGGTCCACTACTTTCGTCACCCTAAAAGCGTAACTCGACGTAATGTAAAACTTTAGACCGAAAAGTTCAGTGTAAAACTGGTGATTAGGCATAGAGAAAAAAAGGAGGTGTTTGCATCTTGAGGTGTTTACCCTGTGACGTAGGTCGGTACAACCTGGCCAGCGAAATCCTGAATTCGAAGTGTGAAAAACGGACCATAATGTCCCATTTTTTGCTTGAATCAACTCATGCTATAATTTCAAGCATTTTTTCTATGACTTTTTTCCATAAATTACACTATTCCCAAGAAAATCGATCATAAAAGTCGCGGTACCGACCTGCGGCATCAAAAAAATTCCAAGATACCCGAAATGCAATCACCTCCTTTATTTTCTCTATGGTGATTAGGTATATCGACGGTGTAAGTCGGCAATCACATAACTCGTTTGCGGTGTCTGAAAATCTCCGCCTCTATAATATTTTTTAAAGGAGAACAAATCAACATCATTTCTTGCAGTTTTTGCGGAATTTTCTACACATAGAGAAGAAAAATCACGACAATTTTAAAGAATTGTCGTTGAGTAGTTTTCCGTTTAAAAAATAAAGTATGATAGGAAGTCTGCGACGTCGCAAACCGAGTTATGTGATTGCCGACTTACACCATCGATATACAAGTGCAAAAATAGCACTTCAAGATACTTGTTAAACAGTTTTAAAGTCAGAGTTCAAAAATGTTACGTAAAAAGTCAAAAAGGGGGGAAAATTTAATGGGTGAGCTGAATTTTTTATTTTTGTGTGTGTATGTGTGTATTTCCAGAAGAAATTATTTTTTGTAGAAAGGAATGCATGATTGTTGAGGGGCTTGGAGGACAAGGCACATAAGTGCAGTTTTCGAAAAAATTGAAATATTATTGATTTCATTTGATGCATATTCTGTGAGAAATTCGCTCCCAAATTCCAATTTTTCAGCATGAAAAAGTCGGTTTGAACTTTCTTACCGTCGTAAGGATCTATGTCATTTCGAAACTTCAAACACATATTTCTCGAAATAGTAAAAACTGCACTTAAGCGCCTTTTCCTCCAAGCCCCTCATTTCCTGGTTGGAGTACACGGAGAAATAGGTGAATCTTTGCTCGAAATTTAAGCAAAACCCGTTCTCTAAGGAACTCGTATGAAAAAAAAATTTTGTAATTGTGAAAGATCAAAATCTCGATCTACTTTCAGCATCGATTCGGTATCGATAAATTTGGATATCAAAGACACTGTTTTAACTAGTAGCCTTATGGTATATATAAATTGGATTGCATTTTGCAATAAAGAACCACTATTTCTGGCCAATTTTAGAAACAACATACATGCCATTGGTTTCCCTATGCAAATATGTGCTTTTGTGGGAGAGCCAGAGATAGTGGTTCCTTATTGCAAAATGTAATCCAATTAATATGGGATTATCACTCAGAATCAAAACATGATAACGGTCTAAAAAGATAACGGATTTTATTATAAAATTCAAGCATTGCATAATTTTACACTTTAAAATAGCTTTGACCAGTACATATCTCATACAGGCACTTAGGTAAGACAACATGGTGACGTATTTTTACAAACTGTAATGGAGGATATAAATAATCTCAACTCACGATTTATCTTATTCGTGAACCATCAATACTTTATTACATTGTCAAGTGCTCAGACCATTGGGATCCATTATAAAACATGATACTTTCGCTTTTTAGTTTATTAGTTCCCCTGGTAAAAATTGGCGATAGGAGCTGCGTTTCAAAATACCATGGGAATTCTTATAACCAACAGAAGAAGGCGATAGAAAATCATATGGCTGGCTGTGGGAAGTGGAAAAAATCATACGGCCGGGCTACACGAAGCGATAAAAAATTATACAGCCGGGCTATAGTACATACCTATCGCCGGGCTTTACACTTTATCGCCTGGCTGTTGCTTTTTCGCCATCGGCTATAAAAGGATATAAGAAATTGTGTAGAAATTCGTGTGTTTTGTAAATCCTTTAGTTTGTACGGAATCATCTTAATATTTACAAAACACACATTATATTTTCCTTCACCACGTACTTTTTTTCATCAGTTAAAATGAGAATAATCCATACAGAGTGTGCAAACATTTCAAAGTCATGAGTTGAAAAACGCTGACTCCACGAGATTAAATATTAGAGCCTAATACAAAGCGGAGCGGCGGCGGACTGGCGCCTACAAACCTAACAGGGATACTTCACGCATTGCGCAATGCGTGAAGTATCCCTGTTAGGTTTGTAGGTGCCAATTCGCGTTTCGCGCTGGCTGCCCGCCCGCCGCGCCACAGAGTACCACGGCTCTTGAAGCAACTATTTCACACCAGAGGTATTGCTCAGTATCGTACAAATTTGAAGGCGCTCCAACATATTAGGAATGGCAGGCATCCTTCAAAAGTACGGAGCTTTCCTCGCAAAATAAATCAAGACACCACGGCCCAAGAGGAGAGCGGTAGTCCAAAAACTCACTAAGTTCTAGCATCCGTAATTAGTAACGTTTCGCATACACTTTATCGCCAGGCTGTTGCTTAATCGCCATCGGCTATAAAAGGCTGTAGGAAATTGTGTTGCCGGCTTTAGATGCTATTGGAAATCTTACAGCCGGCTGTAGGTCTATGGTAATTTGGAACACAGATTCTACTGCCAATTTTTACCAGAGTCTACCTAATCAGTCATTAAACTTGGAGGAGGAATGCAAGCATTCAAAATCTTTTGAATTATTTTTGAAAACTGCACCAGCCTCATTCCAAAACTATCTGTGATGTTTGAAATTATGATTGCACTTCCTCCTCCAAGATTAATGCAGTGGTTTCCCTATGAACCGATCAAATGCGATGATTACAAAATCATAGCTCGAGCACGACATTTGATGGATTCTCGAACGACCTTCCCTAGCGTCAAACGGCATGAACTTATAACGGGAATGAATCCTGAGAAAAACGTAATATTAATACCGCGCTGGAATTATCATTGTGCTTGAATTTCGGTCGCTTATCGAGCATGCATCATGAGGTGAACCCAGAGCATTTCACCAACAGTATTGCATTTGCGTTCGATCAATATTTCTGTGTTTTGCACGTTTATTTGGGAATCCAAATCCTTGATGTACTTGCAACTTATCGTTAATAGTTTACATCTTATTTAAGAGCACAGTAAATTTGGCAACTTTGATTTCGATGATGGATGTGAAGATATGGCTCCTGATCATAGAGTGCATGGATCGCATCTAGCAAAAAGGAACCAGCGCGATGCTAGTGTTGTAAAAATGTTGCTCCTTCAAAATTTTCTAAAAAATCTCTCAGAATAGCAAATAGTTTTTACTTCTCACCAGAAAATTGTTATTTTAAAGGAAAACAACGTGTAAATTTTAAAACTGTACATATTTTGAGTATATTTTCAACAGGAGAGAAACATTTGCACGATTGTGAAAACACTATAATCGCGCTGGTTCCTTTACGCTAAATGGATTATATTTTGCAATAAGGAACCACTATTTCTGGCCCATTATAGAAACAACATACATGCCATTGGTTTCCTTATGTAGATATGTGCTTTTATGAAAGAGCCAGAGATAGTGGTTCCTTATTGCAAAATACGATCCAAATATGATCCACATTGAGTCGTAATATAAATGAGAGAGCTGGCGCCATGTTCTGCTCGACTAGTTCCGAGCCCGGTGTGCGCCGAGCTGCGGTCACTTTTTCGATACATGTTCGATCCAAAATGGCGGTGTGCAATACTTCGTAATTCCTATCTCCTTTGTTTACGTCGGATGGCCGGGTACCCGTGTATCGGAAACAGTCGATCATGCATCGCAAAAGTGACCCAGCAGGAGTCTCGGAATGGAGTTGTTGCATGTGTGAGGGATTTGCGATTTGACCATTGATTCCTTTGTAAAAGTTCGCGAGAAACACGATGGTACCACTGGTTTTCTCTGAAATCATCTCTCAAGCTCAAAAAAAGCTCCCAAAGTGAGGCCAAAATGGAGGGGATATCCCACCCTACCCTGAGAGTCCACCTCTACATCAAAACAAGCTCTCCATGCAAAGATAGGGAGCAAATACATTGACAGGGCTGCCACCTTTTGTGGGGACTCTTAAACTGAAATCACGGCAACCCTGTCAATGTATTTGCTCCCTATCTTTGCATGGAGAGTTTGTCTTGATGTAAAGATGACTCTCAAGGGGATATCTCAAGGGGGGGGTGGAGGGGATATCCCCTCCATTTTGGCCTCAACTTGAGAGCTTTTTTTGAGCTTGAGGGATGATTTCAGAGAAAACCAGTGGCACCATCGTGTTTCTCGCAAACTTTTACATAAGAATCAATGGTCAAATCGCAAATCCCTCACACATGCAACATCTCCATTCGGGACCTGGAAAATGCTTGAAAGTGGCGCCAACGCTCCCACTTACCTTACGACTCTATGCTACTCTATGTTCCTGACTTTGTTCGGGACGACCGTGACGCAGGCATGGCGCGAAGAGGTGACGACTACCGGTGCATGAACATGGAATCGTGGTAGTCTCCTATGGGGCTGTAGATGGAGGGACTTTGGTGGTGAGGGTAGTGGTACGGCATGGGCATGGTGCCGGCGTACATGGCGGTGCTGCTTGGGGTCGCCCCCACTCCCCCCGAGACGGAGAAGTCCAGTTCTCCGCTGGACATGCTTGATATGCTGCTCGGTGTCTTGGGTAAACTGGAAGGTGGAAAACGGAATTCGAAATTATTGTAAGTCTCGTCGGTTATGGAGCTATTCTCCATGCGTAAGCTCACTGAAAAAAAAATCTCGGTGTATTTACTAAGAAAAGGGCAAAATTACCAATAAGAATTCAGGGTTCTATTTGATCCCAGTTTTTTCTTGGTAAAATTAATATTTATGGAATTGGTAATTTTACTGAGAAATCTCGGTAAATTATTGAACTTTCTCGGTAATTTTACTGGACTTTGGTAAAAACGCCAATATTTTTTATCGGCTGTGGTAGAATTACCGAAATAAAATGGCAAAGTTACCGAGAATTGATTACCAATAAAAGTGGTAATCTTACCTGGAAAAAACAGTAAAAATACCGGTTTTTAGGTAAGCTTACCAGTCTGTCTTGGTAAAATTACCAATAATTGGTAAAAAAAGTGAGATGGTAAAAGTACCGACGGACCTTCGTAAAAACGCCGAGAATTTTTTTTCAGTGCTGGAAACCTCGAAGAGGCTCATCGGCAAGATGAGTGAAATGTGGGTATTCTCCTGCCGACCCTTTTGGCCAAAACGCAGATTTTTATTCTCGCCACGAGAGTCGTGGCGCGAAATTTGAATTTCAACATCTTTGCAGTCTTGGCCAAAAAAAATTACGACCGTGCCTGGGTTAAAGGTGTAAATTATTTCTACCTTTAAATAAAATTGCAAAATTTCGGTTTAAAATTTTCCTTCATAAAGTGAGAAACATTGTAACAACCTTAAAATGGTCTAAATTTCAAAAAAAAAATAATAATAATAAATTTAAAAAATGAAAAATTTTAAAAATAAAAAAATGGAAATTCTTACTTATATTCCCTTCTATTTCCCTGGGAAGCGAAACTGGCGTGGCTAATCACCGAGTGGCATAGCTAAACTATGTTGCTATTCTGGCTTATTTTAGAAACAACATGTGTGCTATTAATTTCTCTGTGCAGATGGGTCCTTTCATGATTGAGCCTGAAATAGTAGTTCCTTATCCCAAAATACAGTCCAGCTAGCCTGTACCCATTGGGGTCATCTTTAATAGATGATGGATATACACATGGCAATACTCTCCCTATGAAGATTCTCAATTAACTAATATTGGACCATACATTTCGCAATGAAGAACAACTATTTTTGGTTTATCCATAAAAGTACCTACCTGCATGGAGAATCTAATGGCACAAAATGCTTTTTTCTTAAGTAAGGCAGAGGGAGTGATTCCTTATTGAAAAATGTTGTCCACTTATGAGGATGAGATAACTCATCAAGTACTCACAATGTACCCATTGGTCAGTATTTGGTAACGTTTTAGGAGAATTGCGGACGTATTTATGCGGAATGGAATCATGTGCAAGTAGAAAAAATGGGGTGTGCTCGTTTATTGAGGGCCATAAGAATGAATGGGAATTTAAAAGCGCCAAAGACGTCAGCGGCAATAACGATCGAGACCGGGCACTACGGGGAGAACGGTCGGGACTCTTTAACTGACTATCCCTGTCCACAACGCTATTAGCAGAGCAAATATTTTCATATTTTGGCGCTTAGTTCCTTATGAGTTAATGTGAAATCCCGCTTTTCCATTTTCTCAAAAGGAACTGTAACCACTTTTACATTGTTTCTTATACAGTATGCACGAGAACGCTCCATTTTTCCACTTGCACATGGTTCCTTTTAGCATAAATACGCCCAACTGAATTTAATCAAGCTTACCTCTGATGAAAAGATGGATACGAATTTGAATACGGATGGAACCGATTCTGGTGAGAGTAAACGGGAAGGAGTTTGTAATTACAATCTTCCGGTCGATAGGTGGGCCGGCTGGACCTAGTTCCTCCGAGTGGTGAGAAACAATTCACACGAGAAGGAAGATTCTCACAGGGAATGCTGCTCTCATAATCTACTAGAATCACAAAAAATAGGGAGAAAATTTTAATTTTTTGCTTTTTTAACGTTTTTTGAGTGGCTGAAGTTGCATAAAACAGAGTCATTCACTGGAAAAAAACACATTGGATCTATAGTCCAGACTCCTAAAAACATCGACAAGAAAAAGTACTCTTGATTCAATCGGATTTTTGCTTGAATCAAAAACCAAACCTCTTAATTTGAACGGATTTCCTTTTGATTTAAGCGAAAATCTGATTGACTCAAGAGTATTTTTTTTGTCAATGTTTTCAGGAGGCTGGACTCTAGATCCAATGTGTGTTTTTTTTCCAGTGAATGAACAACGAATATTCACAGCAAACTTGGAAACACAACGACTCAGATCAAATTTTATACATCGATCGGTCAGATTCTGAATTCTGGAGTGCACATTCCTTGAATATCATTAGTTATTCGATCCTCAGAGAGCTTAGCGTGTGCTGTTAAAAATATACCGAACCTAAGAGAGATTAGTAAAACATTAAGGAAATGATAGGGAGATGTTGGCCGGAGACACGAACCGACCTGAAGTCTAGCTTGAGGTCGCGCGGATAATTGATGATGAAGACATGTCGTAGTTGTTCGTCCCTCTGAGAAAGAAATATATTTGGCCAAATTTTATCATACGGGCGTTTCGATTTTGAAAAACATAACCTCTTTTCGAAGAAATGAAATAAATCATTTTTCACGCCACCCAAACTTCACCTGTTCAGTTTTTCTCCCCTCATTGGTTCTTCACTTTTTAACCACTCCTGCTTCATTTTTCACTTTTTTCCATACATTCCCTTCCTATTGCTCTTTTATTATCCATTTTTCTTCGCTAACTCTAAAAATCCCAAAATACTAATTAAAATTTTCCAAAAAGAAAATTAAAACCCCAAATCGATCGACGACCGTAAATCGAACAAAAAATTCGTGAATTGATCGACATGATCCATGAATCGATTGACAAACCCGTGAATCGATCGAGACCCCGTAAATCGATTGACGACTCCATGAATCGATCGACTAACCCATAATTCGATCGAATCGGTGTCGATTGAATCACGGCGGTCGATCCAAGTTTTTATTTTTCGATCGATTCATGTCGATCGAATCCATACCCTCCGTTTCATGATACTCCGCAAATAATTTTAAAAACGAAGAATTTGAGACGTTTCCCATGTATAAGCTACACGGGGGGAGGGGGAGGGGTGTCTGTCCCTCCCCGCCCTCCTCCTTTCTTCGCGAAAAATCCCCAATCCCTCCCCATGTCGCTGATCACAACTTTGCACTCATCAATCGAGCACTACTCGGAACTGAATGTAAGGAACGATTCATTTAATCTGAATTAGGAGGAAAGAAGTAAGGAGACAGATGTCCGGGGAGTGGATGGCGGGGAGGGGGGGCTGCCACCGACTTAGCTCACAGTGACAGAGGCTTCACCGCGGAGTGAATTGTGCGATACGTCTCTCCGGGAGACGGGGGGACGGGGGAGGGCGAAAGGGGGGCCGCGAGGTGTTTAATATTAATGGGTCGATGCGGGACAAAATAGTCTTCCTGTGTCTACGATCGGGCGCGACCGAGAGGGAAAAAAGTTAAAAATCTGTGTACAAACTACGAAATTAGTTGGTGGCAAGATAAATGAGGATAGGACCCCGCCCCGCCACTCACGGCTCCTACTACAAATTTGTACCCGCGGGATAACCTTTAAATAAAAATAGTTGAGCGCCGATTCCTCTCCGATGTCGGAATTCCCGCGGGCGCGTTGTTTTTTTTTTTTTTTTTTTTTTTTTTTTCTTCCTTCCTTTTTCTTTTCCTTTTTTTCTAATTCTCGCTAATGATTTTGTCGAGCAAATTTGTTGGATGCACTCCGCACCGTGGTCGCCCGGGTGAGAACGGGAGTAGTACGAGCTGCGTTTTTGTTCCTCGCATGGCTTTTCCTGAGGGAAAAACGGGAGCTGAACTGAGCCGGTTTTTTTGTTTAGCTGCGCGAAAGCATCATCTTGACTGTTTCTTATTTTTAATTCAACAAAGGTCTTGAGCATAGAACTGCCCCGAACTCGACCCCAATACAGCAAAAATTCAAAAAGACGATTTTTTTAAAAAAAAAATGTTTAAAACTTGTGGAGAACTTTTTTAGAAAATCTGCGATCCAAATCGAGGTACACTTAAAGAGTTGACGCGGATTTGGTGCACGCTAATTGGACCGAGTTTATCAGAAAAGAACCAACTTACACTAAGTTGAAACTGAGTAACAGAGGCTTGAAGGTTTATTCCTGCATAAGGCTCAATGTAAAAAGTAAACTTTAACCCCTCTTTTCACAAAAATGTTTTTGTTTTCAGACTGTCAGTTTTTGGCAGGAGAAAACGTACGGCTGATGAAATTAAAAAACATCCTTAACTCAATTTTTTCGAAAATGTGGGTTGGTTCCTTTCTAATAAACTCGGTCCAATGAATAACCATTTCAAATTTGATCTTTCGGAGAGAAAAACAAAATGAGTGCATGAAATAATAGAAAAACCTTCGCGTGTAGAGAATTTAATATAGTTATGGATACTTACTGGGATATTTGGTTGCAGTAATTTCTTTTCTACTTGGAATCTGGGTGCAAGTGTTGCTCGGTCTCCGCACACTAGTTCTGGACGGCGAGGAAATATCACTGCTACCACTAGGGTTAGGACTATTGGAATTCTGGTGTAGTTGAGTCATCACCTCGGAAGACCCACTGAAAGTAAAATCAGAGGAGAGCGGAGAATTAATTTTGAAAATTACTGAAATCCGAGTACCTATGCGTAGTTTGTTCTGTTCATCCCGGTTGATATCGATGACTAATGTGCGGAACGACGTATCTCCATCTCGGTGTTTTAAAATCTCTGCTCCTGTTTTATTTTTTTGAAGAGAAACGAGTCAATCATATAGTTTGAAATTTCTACGGAATATTCTGCTAATGGAAAGGAAAAATTTAGAAGGTTCTCCAGAAATTCAGCTGACAAGTTTTCCATAGAGAACATGAAGTATGACTGGAAGTCCACAACGTCGCAAACGGGAGTACGTGGTTTCGTACTTTAGCCATCGATATCACGTGTTCGAAATTTGGAGTCACCGAGGAGCTGCAACATGATCAGGTCACGGTAAATTGAGGCCCCTTCAGCAGGTTAATTATTGGAATTGATGGACAAAGCAATAGACGAAGAAAATGAAGGGAAAATGCAGTGATCCTATTGGCTGAAATAGGTGGTTGTTACAGCGGCTAGAGGAGGAACTTATAGATCAACTGGACTGCATTTTGTATTTGGAAATATAAAATCTTGCCCGTGTTAAAAATAACGTATGTGCCATTAGTTTCCGTATGCACATAAGTGTTTTTTCAGATGAGCAAGAATTTATAGTTCCAAATTGCAAAATGCAGTCCAACTATAAGGTCTCTCGTGAGTTGCCAACGGTTAGTCCATTACTTACCTTATCTGTCCACCGCAACCACCCACTTCCATTCCACCAACAAGATCCCTCCATTTTCCCTCATCATTTACAAATCAGAGTGTTACGTTAAATGAAATCGATGCAGCTCAAACACAAAATGGTGTATTAAAATGGAAGAACATTTTTGCCTATACGTATGCGTATAGGGCCCGCGAAGCGGGCCTGAGGGCGCGAGGCGCCCTCCGGGGGGTTGGGCCACGTAGCGGCCAGGGGGCAGACCCCCTAGTTTTGTATTGACTTCAAGCTTTAAAGTTGGCTTATTTCTGCTTCAAAACATAAAGAAGGAACGGAAAGTTTGAAACATTGCAATGAAGATACGTAGTTTTGTACTTTGACCATCGTGATGTAGCATGGCTGATTTTGGTTAAGCCTAGTCCGATTTTTCTTAAAATGATTGGTATTTTTTAAAAAATGAAACCTAGTCGGAATTTTAAAAAAAAAAAATTGAATGTACTGAAACTTTTCGACTTTAGAGGCTGAAGCTAATAAGCCATCGACATGCAGAAAGCATAACTGACACGGGTGTGAAGGTGAGACTGGAAAGCAGAACCGAACTCTCGGGTCCGTATGTATTTTTGGCGTGACCGGTCTCGTAGTTGCCAGATCAGCGCTTTCCCCCGATTACACCAACGTTAAGTATCCAAATATCGCACGATCTGGCAATTCAGGACCGGTGAGCTGTGTGTACGAGCAATGAAGAAAATCAATTACGTTTGAATGTATTCCATGTGTGCTGCCTGCTCGCTCTGAAGCCGGGAGATGAGTGTTGCAAAGCGCGAGCAACAGTAATCACTCTGTAATTTAGCTTCCGTTTAGGTGCCTGTTGACAGCTACTACACGGGCAATTAAATCGCCTAACCCAACCGCCCAACGCCCCCTTTCTCCCAGTTGCCGCATCTAGGCCGCATTAGAAAATAATAATCTGCGATGTGACTCTCGCGGTTTCCGGGATTGGAGTACCTATCCCAGCTGAGGAAGAACGCCGTATGAGCCTTCCGACGTTGCAAAATTTCCCGCCTCATTACACGAATTTTCGAGAAAATTTGTAAATATTTTTCATTCTAATTTTTAGAGAATTATGCCCGTGATTTGATCTAAGGTGCTTGGAAATTTCAGTCATTCTTTAAATAGTCCTCCAAGTCCCTCAATTACTCTATATGCGACGACTTTCCTCCATTCGCCTTGGAATACGCCCTCACGGCTATTTGCATATTAAATATTTCACATTGAATGTATTTGAAAGTATAGATGGTAGTAGTGCTATTTAAAAGTATAGAAGTAAGTATTTCTCGGAAGAGAAGCTGCCAAAAAAGATGCTTGATTGGGTTCCTCCTGGGAGGAGACGAAGGAGACGCTCGGTAAAAGGGGGCGACAGGGGGTTTTAGATGAGATGATGGAGTGCCAACTCCCTGTTGACTTGTGGGAGGACCGAGTTTTGTGGCGATTAAGCGTCGCAGAGCGCTAAAGAGCGCTGTGAGAGCGACTCTTGTGTATGGTTGGTTGGTAGATACGTTTATTTGATGTATGGTTGGTTGGTAGATACGTTTATTTGGTGCTTTTAACATTTGAGCCATTAACACCTTAGAGGAGAGATCAAAATAGTGGAGTACAGATTTTAAAAATTTAAAAATTAGGGGGCACAAAAAGGTATGTATGTATGTATTTGAGAGTGGCCGCCCGGCAACAAGGCGTGATCGAGGAAACCGCAGCGTTGGATTGGTGCGGTTTTCCGCTGAGTGGTCCTACCGCATCGACAGGCCAACCAATAAACAATCCTCACTCTCCGATATTAATATTTCACCGGTATTTTTAGCGTGCAACGTTTTATGATACGAGCAACACGTAACACGCTATTCCACGAGGCGCTGGATATGACTAATGTCTCCAGTGGAACATCCTTTACAAGGGCTCATAAAAAAAGTGTTCCTCATCGTTGTGGCTACGAATTCTTTAAATAGGCGTCATTGTGGCATTTATTTATAAAGCGGCTCTTCTGCCCGTTCTCACCATTCAACAGGCCGGATTTGCTATTAAGCTGTACACCTAAATGCATACCTAAGGGATTGTTCCAAAATTGCATATCGCTTTAGGTGGGAGAGGGGTTGAGGAGAGCGTTGCGCCATTTTGTTTTTACGTGTTAAAGGCCAGGGACCTACGTCACAGAGGCGTTACAAGGAGGAGAAGGGGGTCAAAAATGCCGAAAAAGTGCGTCACGAAATTTAGGGACGGTTTCTAAGGGTGCAACACTCTGAAGGGCATAACACTTTGAAGGGCGCAACGTTTTTGGGGCTTTCTCACCTATGCATTCAAATTTTATTTTTCGTGTCTTTCGTCACGTATTATTTTCCAAATCCAGTCTTTTCCGGTATCAATGTTTCAGCAATTGGTATCTCAAATTGTTTATCTCAGTGCAGAAATATATTGAGTCTCGTTCGAAGTGCTTGAAAAAGCAGACATGCTTTACTTTGATCGCTTTTTGAAAAATAAAAAAAATAAAAACTGTTATGAGGAGGAGAAAATAAACAACACTCACCAGTCATCCGGCTCGCAATCCCGGAAACCTTTGGCAAACGGATTAGTTTCTATTTTTAATTGAGTAATCTGAAACAATTACATGTACAAAGGGTCAAAAAATGGAGATGAGCTGTTATAGTCCCGAAAGTAGAAGCTTCCACTATCGCCAAAATAGCAATGCAGCGTCTCTAGTCTCTATAGCCACATAAGCATTTCGCCTTCATTGTATCGTGTAGGCAGAAACACTTCCGCAGAGTTTGAATAATTGCATGCTCGCGCCTTATTAAAATATACTGTTTTTCGGCCGCACAAGTAAATTTAGGTACCTCTGCATATTGATAAGACGTTTTTACAAGCGAAGAATAATATCTTATCCCAAATTCCTTTGGCAGGCATATCATGAAATTAATAGAGGTATGCATATGCATATTATCTTATCCTCTGCCGGGGAAAAATTCTAAGGCCCATGAAAATGATTCCTCTGTGCATACCTTCAACAAATAATGTATATTATTAAAGGAAAGAACAAGAAATAAGTATTAAAAATTCGTTACGCCAGTTATTTCATGCTTCTTCGCTGAATCCGTAATATTTTTTGAATACAATTTAACAAAAATAACGTCATCGCTTTTGCCGATGCCGTGACGGAAATGGGATTATGCAATGCGAGATGATGCAAGAGGGATCAACGTAAAACGTTGAGAATCAGGTGGCTCTCGTGTATGGACAAAGTACAAAACCACATAATTCCATTAAGCTGTTTCAAAATCCGCTCCTATCTTATTTTTTCAAATAGAGAGAAGCTAACTTCATGTTTTGAAATTTATGTAGAATATTCTGCCGACAGAAAAGAAAAATCACGGAAATATTTAAGAAATTGCTTTAAAAAGTTTTTATAAGGAAAAATTATTACACGAGGTGTTCAACGTTGCAAACGGAGATACGTGGTTTCGCACTATTTTCATATTCATGATCTCTCGTAAATTTTCCATACATGACAGTGCCATACATTTGCCATACCATGGACATACATAAAGCGAAGTTTTATACATGCAGTACACTTAATTTGAAGCAACATACCCTATGGTTTTGGTAAGCTGTCACTGCTGTGAATCTAGTCTCCTCAAAAATGAACGTCTTCCAAGGTTTCTTTTTTGGTTGCGGTTCTGACTTAGGAGGAATATAAATGACGTGAAGACGGGGTTTATACCTATGCATTGAGTTCAGCATTATCTGAAAGTGTGACATCAAGAAAAATTACTGATAAAATGAAATATAATGTAGACCATTTAACAACCTCGCCACATGGAAAGTATAAATTAATCGAAAGGCTGCGGACATATTTTTGTACAATACTTTAGAAATAGAAAGCTACTTTTTTAGCTCATCCGAAAAATTGCCAATCTGCATGGAAAATCCAGTGACACAAATGCTATTTCTCAAATGAGCTAGAGATAGTATTATATCTTATTGCAAAATGTAGTCCAATTGTCAAGTGAAGTTAAGCACGATTTACTTAGACATTTTTATATCGAGGGCTAAGGAACAATACCACCTAACTGACAATTTTGGCGAAAATGAGCTAGCGGATTTACTGCACTCTGCAGTATAAAATACGCAGGTTGATGTTCTTAAAATTTTCCAATTCCACATAAAAGCGCTCTAATGATGCTGTAATGTTTTAGAAAAATCGGAACTCTTTCCTCAAAATTACAAAATTGGCAAAGTCTTTTCTTTGTCTTGCAAAATTGTCAATTTTTAGATAGGCGGTATTGGTTCATAGCCATAGATATACAATAGGAGGCACAAATGCCTCGGGTAGGCAACTATTGCTGCTCGGGGGACATTTTCTCGCCTACCTCGAAAATTGAAGGCGAACTCTCGATATGCATAACTTCAATAAATCGATGCTCGGATGCCTGGGCTAGACAACTATTACTGCTTGGAGGGCGTTTTCCGGCCTACCTCGAAAATCAAAGGCGAACTCTCAATGTGCATAACTTAAATAAATCGATGCAGCTTACGTCACCGATGGAACGAATTAGTCGATGGAAAAGATGAAACAGTTTACAAACTTACATGCCCATTCTCGTCCAGCTGATTATTGGTAAGCTTTAGTTTATCGAAGGAGACGATTTGTTTCATCCACTGGGCGCCGGTGGCTGGCGAATCTGGGTGAATGTGCATGCGTGGCGGGGAGCATGGATCAGCCTTCCCGGCTGTCACCCAACTGGAACTAGACACGAAAAAAGTCTCAATGAAGGTCTCGTCCCATTGGTGATTGCATCATACTGTTATAAAAGATACACTGAAAAAAAACTTCGGGCGTGGAAGCCGTCCTCGCTATATAGAGACCACCGTCCGCGTTCCGGGCTCAGAGGCCGAAAATTTCGGGTTTAGCACCCGGAACTTCACAATTGTGTGAAGGAACTGAACTTCAATATTGATATATCTGATTTTTCAGAGGATTGCGTTCGCACTGAAAAAAAATCTCGGTGTATTTACTAAGAAAAGGGTAAAATTACCAAGAATTCAGGGTTCTATTTGATCCCAGTTTTTTCTTGGTAAAATTACAATTTATGGAATTGGTAATTTTACCGAGTCTCCTCGGTAAAATTATTGAACTCTCTCGGTAATTTTACTGGACCTTGGTAAAAATGCCAATAATTTTTATAGACTGTGGTAGAATTACCGAGATAAAATGGCAAAGTTACCGGGAATTGATTACCAATAAAAGTGGTATTCTTACCTGGAAAAAACAGTAATAATACCGGTTTTTTAGGTAAGCTTACCAGACTGTCGTGGTAAAATTACCAATAATTGGTAAAAAAAGTGAGATGGTAAAGGTACCAACGGACCTTGGTAAAAACGCCGAGAATTTTTTTTCAGTGCGTTAGTCGATCTAAAAATTCTGAAAATTTCGAGAGAAACTATTCACAATTTTTTCGAAAAATAAATATTTTCTGAGAGGAAATGTGACAACATTGGAATGCTTGTACAGCGTTCTTCCTTAGCACGGCAGAGTTGCACTATAAATCCAAAGGGCCCACCTTAAAAATCACGACGGAAAATCGACCCGAAAATTTCACGTGCGTGAGAAAGGTTCATTCGAAAGGTCAGTTCTCGATTTCAGAGCCCGAAATAAGACACTTGCGAGCTGCGAGAGGCTCTCCCCCTGCCAGCCCCTCGCCCACACTCCACGCCCCGGGGGTGCTTCCTTCGATAGTTAGCGCTGCGACCCAATAAATTAAAGCGTGAAGCTCATCGCGGTGCGAACGCTCGACAGGAATGTTTCCGGCTTCCTTCCTCTCGAGCCGAGTCCGTCTCCAACGGAAAACAGCAGTAACTCAAATGGAACTTGAGCCGCGGTTTGCACGTGTTCCTATGCGCATCGAGGTTCACTTTAGAGTGGAGTTGCTGCTGTTTCCTAAACACGCCCGAGCCTCCTGACCTATTCCCTCTGTTTATTTATTTGACATCTCTGAGATACAGAGCGTCATACTAAGCTTGTTTTTTTTTTCAGAGATTTCTCGTAAAATATGAGTTTGACATTTGATCGATGCTCTTGCGCGAGTTTCTTCATGTGGGTTCCAGTATGTTGAGCAGGGATGCTGCTGTGTTTGGTGTTTCATTGGGAGGACGTGTAAGGCAGTGGCGGAGCGTGAACGATCGATTTTATCGATATTTCCCCCATTTGAAGCTATGGTGAAGAATCGATTAAATGTTTGTTGCAAACACCCTGTTTATCGGTCCTTTTTCATAGGTTTAAATGGTAGATTAATCGATTCATCGCAAAGCATGCGACGCAATTGGTGTAACGTAAAATGCCGTAGAAACATTGGAATGTATCACATTTAATTTACTAATACATGTTCTTTTTTTTGGAAAGCTTTTGAGATCCTATTTTTTTAATTTTTCAGCAATTATTTCCTGAACTTTTATCGAAAGCATTTGAAATTTTAGGGCAAGATATTCATGGCTTTCCTCAGGAGGAATATATTTTATCCATGAGAACTATCGCACCTTTTGTACGTTCGTGAAGGAGTCGCGGATAGAAGGGGTTGGAATGGGATATTTTACAACGCGATGAAATCGAAGATGAACCTTAAAGAATGATACAAACACGTCAATTGAGGCATTTTTCCGGGAAACATTTATTCGACTGAAATAGGTCTGATGCGCACAAAAAAGGCTATTCTACCTCGTAGCTCCTCTGAGGTAAGGGCGTACCTCGATTTCCACTTAAGCACCAGAAAGCATGACTTTATTTGTAAATCATAGGTTCACGTGGCAATTGAGGTACGTCCATTTGTATTAGGGGCGACGACCTTACCTGCTTTTTTTAAAATGTGAAAATTCGGAGGAATAAAATTAAAATTCAGAAATTTTCTTTTCAAAATTTAAAATTAAAAAAATTCTGCTATCTTAAAATTGGTCTTTATCTTGCGATTAGGAAGCTTAGTTTCTAGCTCGTTCGCATGAACACTTTTGCGCATTTGGAGATTAATGGTACATACGTTGTTTTTTAACTGCGCCAGAAATTGTAGATCCTAATTGCAAAATGCAGTCCAATTGAGGTGCGTGTTTCTGTTTATGGATTTCCATCATGGATAAAAGCCTTTGTGCTGCGGAGTGGATATGATTGCAAAAAAAAATTGTTAAAAAACCTAGAATTGGAGGGAATATGTATGCGCTCACTTAATGCTGAGTTAGGTGTGAGCTATTTACAGTTAGATGGCCGAAGTTCCTATAGAATTAAGGTTCTCAAAATAATGAAAAAATAAAATTTTCACACGGTAATTACCTGTGAAAAGCATATTTATAACGCTTGTCGTCGGCGGGAACGAAATCCATCGTTAAGAGATAGTTCGCCGACTCCTCCATGCCAAAAAGCCGTACTTGGAACACAGGAAACATGCGTCTGAAATATCAAATTATTATATATTACATAATGACATAACTGTATTAATGACCTAACTAATCATGATTGTCATTACAATGTCAAAAATTATACTAAAATAGACCCTTTACTACAAGGTATCTGTCTTGAGTTGCAATTTTGCAAACCCCTTACAATAATTTTCTTTTAAATGAAAAATATTCAATATCATCCCTTGGAAGTCTGGAGCATTTTTTTGATCATCCAGTGATCAGGTCAGTTTGTACTTCTTGAGAAACAGGAATAAGAACGGAGATTTCCAAACACCACAGTTAAGACTTACCTATGGCTAAGGTAAAAAAGCGCATCAACATTGTAACGTTTAAAAGTCTCCGATATGCTTCACTATTTTAAAAAGAAAACCAACCAAAACATCTCCTTCAAATTATCTGCGAATTTTTTTGAAAGTGAAGGAAATTCTGCGGAAATTTTAAGGAACACTTATAGTTGGTTTTTTCAAAAGGTATTAAAACATGGTGGAGATTTATAACACCGCATTCAAAGATGCGCATTTTTCTGCCTCAGCCATCGATTCGTGTTTTTTCACATCGATAGATATAGAAGTGTGACTCACCTCCCAGCTCTGGTAACTATCATTTCAGTTTCTAGTTCGTTGAATTTCTCCCACAAGGACTGAAATTCGAGAGTGGCTTTCACGTTGACTACCATCGGATGCAGCTCGTCATTTTCACTTGAATTAAAATTACTATATGCGCTTTTATCGATAGGACTTCTGTCCAAAGCATTAGCTTTGTTGCTGATAACGTTGTTGTTCTTCTCAGTCTCAGCTATCCTCGCCTCCGAACCTCCGCTGATTGTGTTCTCTATGCAAGCTAGAATCATATGAAATGAAAATACAGTCAGATTTATGGTCAGTTAAAATGTCGAGTAATGGCATCACATTAACATGTTTGAAATAATTAAATATTAAATGTATATTAAGCGAAATGCACTTCGCTTTTCCACGCTACATGGCCAGAATGTTCGGTCAACAGAATGAGGAACAAAACGATGACCCGACGCGAGTCACGACCGCGACGAAGGAATATTGCGCCAAACCTAGAGTAGGCAACTATTCGGCTCCGTGTGTGGTGCAAGGTTGCGGGCATCGCTTTTGAAGGCGAAATGGGCCCGACGCATGACATGACCTGACTTGAGCGTGTTACAAACCGGCAAGTCCGAATGTTCTTTGACGTTTGCGTGCTAGCTCGATCAAGGATTATGCAGCTAATGATTATCTTTATTATCCTTTATTTTACTTGTCTTTATTTGTTATCTACATTAATTTTAAACGCTTCGGCGATGTTTTGTTTGAGGTGCTTTGCGCAGTGCTCACAAATCTGTCAGTTTTCGATAGGAGACCAGAGGCTCCTCAATGAAGAAAAAACCATGAAATCCTATGAGCTAAAGGATGTTCTCCAAGGGTGGGTCTTACCGAAAAGCGGATCGTAATAAATAATTAGAAAGATAGAGGCACCCAGTGCCCAGGTGCAAACAATTTTCTGAGAGTCCCTCGGAGATTTTTCAAATACTGCCAAAGTGGCTCCCTAACTGCCGCCGACATAGGCCCCTGCTAGGCCTTTTTCGACCAAGGTCAAGGGGGCGATTGCCCCTCAGGCCTTGGATGAAATCATGTTACAATCAGTGTTGTACTGATACTTATTAGAGCTCAAAATTTTGGACTCTAATTGACATTTTTAAACCTTTTGGCCTTGTATTCCCCGCAAAATAGTGTGAACCCAACACTATTTTATCACCTTGCTACATACAGTCCAGACCACGTTTTTCAGTGTTTTTTTTTAAATCATTTTTACAAGCGTTCCCATCCAGTATTTCATCCTGAGTTTCCCTATCAATTTTCAACATTACACATTTTCCCAGGCATATATCATCTATGAGCCAGCATATGGCCCCGATCTCTCGAGTTAAAACCGGTCCGGCTGAAATAAATCAAGACCTCTTGAATCGTCGACTCTCCGACCCGACGCGACAAGGTACGACACAATTCGGGCCTAGGTTTGACGTAAACCCGAAACCTCGGATCGAAGAGCAATTTGTGTTCCGCCTCTTATGACGTTCTCTCAAGTCCCTTGGTACGGGAGGGGGGGGGGTTCAATACGCGATCGGGGCAATTTATGCGCTCAAGTTGCCAGGTGCCCGTTCCGTTCCCCCTTCTGCTAGCAGGCGCCCCCAACCCCCCTCCTTCGTGGCTCGCGCCATGCCGCCTTGCAGTCGGCCGAGATGCATCTCAAGTGCCTCGCTCTCGGCGCACTCCGCACACGTCGTCGTCCCTCCGACGTAAGGGCGTATCTCGGATTCTACGTGAGCCCTGTTTTACATATGATTCTATGCTTTCTGAGGCTCTTGCGGAAATCGGGATACACGAGAAGGAGCGACAAAGTCTCTGATCCCTGTCAAAATGTTTCTCGTTGGGTCTCGGCTTGTCATTCACGATGTTGCCATCTGATCTGCTCGGGGCACGCTTAAAAAATGAATAAAAAGTCAAGCCTAAGGGGCCGTTCGAATGTTACGCGAGGTGTTTGGCGCAAAACCTAACGCAAGGTTTTTCGAGCCTCCGCCCCCCCTCTCTTCCTTCCGTTATAAGCGCGCTGAGGAACTAACGCAATGATGTAGAGGAAGTACTATATTTAAAAAAACACAAGAAAACAGGCAATTAAGGCTGAAAAACAACAAATCCAAAGCCTGCGGACTGATAATTGAAATTGATAGACAAAGCGATCGACAAAGAAGACATAGGGCGTTTGGAGCCAGGCCCGCCACAAGGGGGGGGGGGATACTGGGTCCCTGGTACCGGGACCCGTACTGCCCGTGCAAAACCACTACGAAATTCACATGCAACCCTTGTTTCGTAAGAAAAAGTGAAACATATACCCTAAAAATTTCGCAAAAGTTGAATACATTTTCAAAAACACGCTGGGGCACAATAGAACTCTTCTTAAATTTTCAAAGAAGTATACTTTTTGGAAAATTTCTGTCTATTTTCAAGATTTTCAGTACAGAAGGATATTTTTAGTAAGTGCGTTTCATTTTCTTCCGTCGTCAGATGCTAAGAGTCTCCAGTCTGGGCATCCTCGACTTTGATGGCTCATGGCTCAACTCCCTTGCCATAGACAAACGAAGGGGGAGTCTAGGGGGGCCTGGCCCCCTTACAATTGAAAAAGTATCATATGCTCCCCCCCCCCAAAAAAATAAAAAGTTTCCAGATGTTTTGAATGCAACAATTCGCAAGTATTTTTTGCTGAAAAAGGAAAAAAAGCGTAATTATTCCGCAGAAATTGATGGACAAATTCGTCATGGAAGCTTCAAAATGCGTCCAAATAGATTTATAAATTAAAAAATTTCTCGGGGGATGCCCCTCGGACCCCCCCCCCCCCCCCCNCCCCCCCCCCCCCCCGTCCCCCGTGCTTGGGGCCCGGGCCTTAAAACTGGTACCAGGGCCCGAGATGGGATGTGGCGGGCCTGTTTGGAGCAGTCCTATTGGTTAAAACTGGTGGTTAAGGGGGGAAGTGATGGACTAACTGTAGGGCCTCTTGTCGGTTGCCGTTAGTCTATTATCTACCTCCTTTGTCCATTGCAACCACCCGCTTCCAAGAATAGGATCTGTCTAATTTCCGTTTGTCTTCTTTGTCTACAGCTTTGTCTATCAATTTTCGTAATCGGCCCGCTGGAACGTTCCGGGATGGTTTCAACTCCCTTTTTGACCAGGTTGTTTTCTGGTAACTTGTTGTCTGGAAAGTTTTTTAGCACCAAGAGAAACAATGTTTCCTGGTTGAGAAGGGGGTTGAAACCACCCCCGAAACGTCCCAGGCTTTGTGTTTGTTGTTTTTTAGCCTTCATTACCCGTTTTTCAACTTTTTCATGAACTTTTAGAAATCTTGCAGTGAATTCTCGTATGCATACTACTCCAAATTCTAGTTTGCCCTCAAAAATCCCGAGTGAATGAGTGAAAAGTGAAATTCCTTCAATAATAGTGTAGTTTTGAATCCAGGAAAGAGTTGATCCCTTTCGTGGAAGCGGAGCTCGTCGCGCCTCTGGCGTAAGGGCTTATCTTCATGTCCGCATGAACCACAGAAGGCATGGATTCATATGTAATATAGGGCTTATGTGAACATTTATTTTAAATCTTGCGTCAAAGGGGCAAGATGTTAACTTTAACTTCGTAAAAATCATTGAATTTCTCTCCGCACTCGTATCACTCTGAATTTTTCGGGACAAAATGGGTTCTGGGGTGGAATGCACTTCTGATTTCACTTTCCAAGATTTTGCTCAATTTGGTTATGCTAAAATTTACCGGTAAAACATTGTGGTAAAATTATCGGGCCCACAGAAGGCGGCAAAATAACTGCAGGGTTTCTTGGATCGATGGAAACTAAAGAGTTGGTGGCAAGGTTTTTCCCTCGAAGAATAGTCATTTTTCAAACGAACACCCAATAGGTTTTTGTGTACGCGATAAAATGAAATTCTCCTCTAAAGTTCGTAGAGTTAAATTTCATGAATAATAATTTTCGTGAGACCTTTTTTCTTTGCTTCATCGTTAGCATGCCCAGATCGATGGTAAATCTGCAAAACCACGCATCTCGGTTTCAGGTGTTGTAGACTTTCTGTCATATTTTATCTTCTTAATATAGAACTACTCAACGTCAATCCTTAAAACCCTCTGATTATTCCTCTCTGTTTGCAGCAAATTCTGGAAAAATCTCTAGGAATGTTGTTGATTTGTTCTCCCTCGGTAAAATAAAATAGAAGCAGATTTTTAAACACCGCATGCAAGATACGTGGTTTGGCAGTTCCATTGTCGATATACGGATATAAGAAGCTGTTGAGCAATCATCGTCTATGAGGAAATATAGACCACATTCATTCGTCATGTTGCGATGATTGTATCGATCCCATTTCTCCTTCAAATACGACGAACGCAACCTTACATCACTTAGAAGGTGGTATAGTTGCTTACTCGAGATTTACCTATCGCAGCACGAGTATTGCGCTGTTGACTTCTCTCCTTCAACTTAATCAACTACTTTCAATGCTGCAACAATAATCATGCATATAGAGCAAAAACAGATCGGGGGGGGGGGGGGGGNGGGGGAGGTTCCCATCCCTCCTTCCCCCCCCCCTCCTCGCGGCCTCAACTTTGAAAGCGTTTTTCGAGCTTTGGAGTTCGCGGCACCATCGTACACATGAAACAGTATACTCAAATCGCAAATCCCTGCGGCATATACGAGTATGTAAGAGCTCCATTCCTGAGGATTTTACGGGAGTCTTCTTGTAATGTTCATGGCCCATCTACCCCACTCCTCACGCCTGTGCGGGAACCGGCGTGGCTTGGATTTATGCAACTGAAGCGCCGATGTGTGCGGCTGAGCGTGTGTTGCGATGTGTTCGGTGTTAGTGTGTTCTGGTGGTGGTTAGGAATTCGGCGTCGTTGTTTGGGATCACCCGACACCGAAACTATTCTGTTTGACAGCGTGTTTTCGCCGCGTGCCCAAGCGACACGGCCCGGGCGATACCGCCACCACACCACCGCCACGTCGCACAGTGAATCGAGTTAGTGGGAGAGGTTGGACACAATTTGGAAACTGTGAACGCTTATGAGCGTTATACAAATGTAGGGTTATTCCGTTTATACAAAACTTCGAGATTCTAAAAGTAGCTCTATCGATTTTCTCGTAAAATTTCCTTCTAGAAACACCCCTTAAATTTAAAATGTGACGTAATAAACATAAAAATTTGCAGTTTTAGTCGGAAATGTCATGTCCGACCTCTCTAATTGATGCGATCCACTGTGTGTTAAAACGTAGAGTTATTCCGTTCATACAAAACTTCGAGATTCGTCTAAAAGTGGCTCCATCGATTTTCTCGTGAAATTTCCTTCAAAAAGTGACCCTTAAAATTTAAAATGTGGCATAATAAACATCAAAATTTGCAGTTTTAGTCAAAAATGTCATGTCCGACCTCTCTAATTGATTTGGTCCACTGTGCGTTGCACGTCGCGCGTCGAACGTCGCGCCAGCCGTCATTCTCGTCAGTCGTGTTCCCGCCTTTGTTGCAATTAGAAACAACACGCTGCAACGCCTCTTCCTCTTCCACCTCTCGTCTCTTCTCTCTCTCTCTCCGTCTGATTCTTCATCAGCCCTCGAGATATCCTGGTTCGCCTGGGATAGTGAAATCGCGTTTATGCTTCCGTCGGAATCCGTTGTATCGAACTGCCGCTTTCAGCAAAGATTTTGTGGAATATTCCGAAAAAAGTCCAATTCCAAGTGAATTCCGATTTTTTTCCCTCCTTAAGCAATTTTTGTCGTTAAATTTATCGTACATTCATATGTGTCTCTTTCTCATCTTTCGTAATTTCCGGCTCTCTTTTATCTGTTTCCTCTTCGTCAACCCTCAAGATATCCTGGTTCGCCTGGGATAGTGAAATCGCGTTTACGCTTCCGTCGGAATCCGTTGTATCGAACTGCCTCTTTCAGCAAAGATTTTGTGGAATATTCCGAAAGAGTCAAATTTCAAGTGAATTTCGATTTCTTTTTCTCCTTAAGCAATTTTTGTCATTAAATTTGTTGTACATTCATTTGTGTCTCTTCCTCATCTTTCGTAACTTTCTGACTCTCTTTTATCTGATTCTTCTTCGTCAACCCTCAAGATATCCAGGCTCGCCTGGGATAGTGAAGTCGCGTTTATGCTTCCGTCGGAATCCGTTGTATCCAAAGATTTTGTGGAATATTCCGAAAAAAGTCCAATTCCAAGTGAATTTCGATTTTTTTTTCCTCCTTGAGCAATTTTTGTCATTAAATTTGCTGTACATTCATTTGTGTCTCTTCCTCATCTTTCGTAATTTCCGGCTCTCTTTTATCTGATTCTTCTTCGTCAACCCTCGAAATATCCCGGTTCGCCTGGAATAGTGAAATCGCGTTATGCTTCCGTCGGAATCCGTCGTGTTGAGCTGCCTCTTCTAGCGCAGGTTTTAGACAATTTGTAGAATATTCCAAAAAAAATCCACCTCCAAGTGCATTTCATATTTTTTTCTTTTTTTTTTTACTCCGATTTCTTTTAAAACAAATTTTCGTACATCTATTTGTATCTCTTCCTCTTCTTTCGTCATTTTCTGCCTTCCCTTCGTCTGATTCTTCTTTATCAACCCTTGAGCTATATTGGTTCGCCTGAAATAATGAAATCGCGTTTATGGTTTCGTCGGAATCCGTTGTATTGAACTGCCTCTTTTAGCGCAGATTCTAGACAATTTGTGAAAGATTTCAAAGAAAAAGTCCACCCGAAAGTGAATTTCATATTTTTTCTAAATATTCTTATTTCTATGTACCGAAGGTGAATGATGAAAAATAAAAAATAATTTAAAATAAAAAAATTATTTTTTTCATTACGACTTTTTTTAAAAAAATGATTTGTAAATCTATTTGTATCTCTTACTCTTCTCTCCCCATTTTCTGTTCTCTCTTCGTCTGATTCTTTTTTATCAACCTTCGAGATATCATGGTGTGCCTGGAATGTGGAAATCACGTTTACGCTTTTGTCGGAATTCGTTGCATCGAACTGCCTCTTTCAGCGCAGAGAAGAAAATTGAATATGGAAAAATGTGTGATATATGTAATCTGAAAAACGTGCACTTCGTAGTGCCTTCATTGTTTTAAACAAATTACAAAATGTTTATATTAAATTTTATTGTAAATTTATTTGTGTCTCTTATTTTTTGGTCATTCTTTGCTCTATACCTTCGTCTGATTCTTCTGCATCAACCCTCAAGATATCCTGGTTCGCCTGAGACAGTGAAATCGCGTTTATAAGCGTTTGCGCTTTCTGCACAATCCATAACACATGGATTTCGAAGAAAATTTTGGAAAACCCTGAATAAAGTGCAAGTTTTTTTTTTTTTTTTTTTTCGAAGTGCAGAGAATTTCATCTCTTTTTAACATCATTGTTATTAAATTTTTGTGTAAGTTTATGTGCGTCTCTATTTTGTCTCTATTGTGTCTAAATTTACTATCGTTCGCCATATTCAGTGCGGAACCGCGTTCATGATGCTTTCGTCGAAATCCGTTACATCGCACTAACTTCTAGGGCAATAAACTTTGGAAGAAAGTCAAAGTTGTTAAAAATTTTAGAGAAGAGGGTTTTTTTCCAAAAAACACATATTTTTTTTCTTAAATTTCTTAATTACTTTCTCTTATAATGTATTCTAGTCTCTTGCTCTACTTGTCTGCTCCCTCTAATCAACTCCGGAGGTAACCTAGACTGTTAAGTGTTGTGATACCGCGTTTATGTTTTCGTAGTCGAAACGCACGTACTATCGCATTTTTCTTGTTGCGCAATATTTCGGAAATGTTATGGAAAAGCTGCAAAAATTGGTGTATTTCATAACAAACGGGAGAAAACTTGGAAAATTTCAATTCTTGTAATCTTTAGACAATTTGTCCAAAAATCCAGCTTCAGACGTGCATTTCTCAGTAGATTTCACAATGTTTTGTTCAATAATCACATGTTTATGTAATTATTGAAATCGCGCTTATGCACTCCACTATATACTGTCCTTGTATATCACAGAATTCGGAAAAATCGGAGAAAAATATTGTGAATCTCATAGAAGTCATGGTAAAATTATAAATATGTGGACGGTCCAACGGGGAATTCTTGAGGAAAATGGTTTTGTACGCACGCACTTCCAAGAATGTATCATGTTTTTTTAATCATCTCAGTTTTTTACTCAGTCTATTTCTAATTCTTGTCTCTCTTGGTGACTTTTCACTTGCTTCTGTATCAACCCCCAACCTCGGTCCTTCTGGTAATAGAGGACAGAATTTCTGCACAGTAATAAGAAAAATCATTTACCTGCATAGCTGAATGTGTCTTACTTTCAGCTTTTATTTGAGAAAGAAACAGTATAACATATCGACAATGAGACTGCAGAAATACATACGTAGATTTGCGGCGTTGCAAAATTTCTGTTATTTACTACCTACGTGACAAAACAACGCACTAATGATATAATTTCCTAAAAACTTCGGGCATTTATCTTCTCTATGTGAAGAACATTCCGTGAAATGTCCAAGTCCTAGAGTTGGTTCCGTCTTGTAAGAAATAAAAGTGGAGCGGAGATTTTGAAACGCTGCGACCGAGGTACGCATTTTTGCAGTTTCACCGTCGATATGTAGCATCAAATTATAGTTTCAGCAAATTTTCAAACTCCTCTTCAAATTACCTCTCTTTAGTTTTTCAATTCATTTGCACGAATGAAAAAAACGATGGAGCCATCTCTTGCAGGGCTCAAAATAGTCTTGAGCGGTCAGTTTGCCAAACTATTTGGCATTCGTCGCAAAGAGGACATTACTCACTACTAGGCTAGTATTAGAAACAATCGGCAGGTGGAAAAATTGACGGTCAAAAGTTATTTTACCGGAGTATTGTGCATGCAAGGAGGCAAAATTAAAATTCCTCAATCAATGTTTAATTCAATAGAAAAGACGTTTATAAGGCTTTTCATTAAGATCATTCTTTTAGCTTTATTGCATGCCAAATATTTTGAAATCCGGTCGCGGAACAAAAGAAAATTCAATTTAATTGAGACCACCTCGGGTGTACAGATAAATTGCCTTGAAATCTCTCAAGTTTTCTCTTGGAAACAAAAAGAGTTTTGAGCAAAAGCGTTGAATTATTCATCTTTTTCCTAACGTTCTCAGATTCAATTACATTGATTTGACTTTGAACGTACATGCATTGGTTTGATATTTATTTGTTGACTTGGATCGACTTGCCTTGAGATATTACGATTTTTTGCAGCCGTGTTCTTCTGCATTGCGTTTTCACCCCTAGACTTCTTGTGAATCGCGACATATAAACCCTCTATCGCCTTAAGATTTTTAAATATTATAAGAATTTCATTATTAATTCTTTCCTGATTGATTTTAGAAATCTACGAAACTAATTTCATTGGTAAACAGGGAAACTAATGAAGTTTGTGGAATGTGGAATCTGACCTCGAGTGTGAAAAGAAACACGCGTTGCGTGAAACATACCCGAAAGAAACACCCGAAACAGAGAGGTCCAAAATATCAAACCAATTTACCGAGAAAAATATGTTTCACGCTCAAAACAAGTACTTTTTACAAGATTATAGTGTATAGAGATAAAATGTAAAAATTCTGATAAATTGTTAGGCGTTTTTTAATTTTTTAGATTGTCATTATAATGGAGACCAAAAAACATCCACAGTAGCAAATGGTAACTCATTTTTTTCTACATTCAACTTAATTCTCACTTAAGCTTCTCGATGCTCCTGATATCTATGGTAATATTTTCAAAAGCGCTCTGTAATATTGAAAATGTTACTTTAAAAAAAACTTGTACGTTTCACTGGTTATTCCTCGAAAAAAATCCATTTTTTTATCTTATTTTAAGTTTGAGAGAACGTATAAAGTGTCCCTGATTCTTTGCATTACGTTTTCTCATAAATAATGCGTGACTTTGCTGCTAAAAAGATTGAGCATCCCACTAGTTAGGAACAGCGGCTTACAAAAAGAAATACCAATTTCTTTTTCTCTCTAATAAAGCTGCTTACATACAGATAGATGGGTACTTTATTGGAGTACCAATGATTTTATTTTCCTCGTTGTGAATTCAGACAAAACGATGAACAGATACTTTATGTTTGTTGGAAAGTATACTTAAAGCACAAACCTTGCAGTCCTTTGATAGCTTTTCCAGTGCTCCACTGATAGTTGTTCCCGAAAATATCTGCCATACAGGTTAGAGAATTTCCGTTGTACTGCTGCATTTTTAAGCAGCATAATACAACAAACACTAGAACGTTACATTTGTAATCTTCATCGCCGATTTTAAAAATCTATAGTTGCACGCACAATAAATCACACTATCGAAAGCTACGAGTCATTATTTGACTCACCCGAATAAGAACGTAAAAATAAGTTTAAAACAGTATAATTCCACCAAAAAACACGGAAAGTTCACTGACTGCAGATTTTATACGCAGGAGATGGAGTTGATATCCGTTTAAATCACTTTTATGCAGCACGAGAGATGTATAAGTTTTCGGGACCGAAATGTTTTTGAAAATACCTAAAAATGGAGACGGTGAGAACAAAATTATTAGCAAGGCAACAATTTTTAAGTGTAAATTTGACTCAAAGTCTTCTCACTATTTTTAATGATTGTTTTTACGCATTGATTAGCATTGCAATTTGAGATGACGATTGCAGTTCATATCCAAATTTTGCGAGAAATGTCACATACAGTTTTTATTGAAGCCCACCAGGTAAAGTAATCGCAAGTATAAATCCATGGGTAAAAAGAAACGGACCACATTTTAAATGATTTCTTATCAAGACTCAGGGGGAAAACAGTTCTTGCAGTAACATTGCTCTTGCTGATTCTAGAGCTAGAAATTGACAGGTCTCATGATTGCAAGTTTAAACGTCTTACTCGTCGAGGAACCAAAATCGGAACAAAAATTAGGTACGATTCATTCTTTTATAATTTTTTTTCTTTTTCTCTTTATTTTCTTTGAATATTTATTGATGAGCAAGGAAAATTCACAGACAATTTCACGAAAATCTGTTAGTTTGGTTCTCTTCTCTCTTTTTTTTTAAAAAAAAAAAAAAAAAACGTGATCTGAGATTTTTAACTTTGCGATCGGCAATATAAAGGTTTCTCCTACTTAAGTCATCGATGTATCCCTATCGATGTCTTCCTTATGACTAACGTGACACACATAGATTCTTTTTCTCCCCGACATCGATCTATATTTTGAATTTCTAACTCAGTGTTACTTTAGTGGTCATATACCTATTGTTCAAGAAATTTTGCAAGACACTGTCATTATGTGAATCGTTTCTCACGCGGAGAGGAAAATATTTTTAACACGTTGATCAACCCGAGATCTCGTTCAAACGCCCCGCGCGTGTTTTATCCGGTAATTAATTAATTCTACACTGGTTCTAAAAAAGTCGCTTGGATCTAGGGTCTAGACTCTTAAAAATATTGACAAGAAAAATACTCTTGATTCAATCGGATTTTTGCTTGAATCAAAAGGTAGTCCGCTTAAATCAAGAGGCCTCGCTCTTCGATTCAAGGAAAAATCCGATTGATTCAAGAGTATTTATTCGTGTCAATGCTATTAAGAGTCTGGACTCTAGATCCAAGTGACTTTTTTCCAGTGTACTTAATTAATTTATTCATTCTTCCATGTAAAATTTACTAATTTAGTTTCAGCCCACCAAAAATTTAACCAGAACATTTTAGCGGTTCGTGGAACCTCTCACTTAGCACACATTATAGCCAAAACTGTGCGATGCGATATTTTTATCGTGCTTAGGTGACGATGAATCACACTACGAAGCTAAATTTGTCAAAGACTTATCACGTAACTTTCATACTTAAAATATGAGGAGCAGTATATAATAAATGGGTGAAATGCGACCGACCAAATAAGCCTAGGACCACACCAAAAGCCCATGATTGTCAAGTTTCCTCCATCTGTTTGCGGCGCAAAGCGCATTGCAGATATTCATACGATGGATATTCATATATACTCTGGTAAGTTTGAGGAGAAAAGTTGTCATCACTGCGTTGCACTTGACGAGTTCAGTGAGAGCGCATAATTTACATTTTATTGGTTTCTCCTCCCTGCAACGAAGACTAGTGAATGTACCTCCCATCCACGCGAACACATAAAAAAGGATGCACATCAAACAGAGGAGCTTGCATGTGTGAACATATGCTTGAAGATGCCGTGTGAAATAAAAAAGAAAGTCGCACGCTTTTGTGATCCGCCACCACCATCGATTGGTTTGCAAAAGCAGATCCAGCCATTTGGCAACACCGGATTTTCTCCATTTAAACCTACGCTAAAAATCGATTCTTGTCGGAGCACCTGACCCCTCCAGGGATCGATACATTTACATAGGTTTGTAAATTGACAATGTTGCTAATTTGCTGGATCTGCCGTAGAATTTAAGTCGATGATGTGTCGCACGCGATGATTTATTTCGATTTTAACCTGATGGACCCAAAATTAGGGATTGGTATCTCGTGACAATATTCAAATCTCAAAACGCTTACAAAAGTCACTTAAAAAAAAAAAAAGTTAAGGTTTAAGCAAGCTTCCTTGGCTCGAAAGAGTCTATCAAAGAAAGATATCTCTTGTACCCCTTTTCTGGGAAACTCAGGGATTTTTTTGAAACGTGGTCTAAACGAAACCTCATGATGAGGCCATTCTCCGATGAAAGTTATAGCTTGAGTCTAAGCTCATTTTTGCAATACAGCATTGCAAACCGTTCAATTTACACCATTGAAAAATACTGATATTTTAAAGTTTTTCGGTTTAAAAAATGACTTTAGTTAATTCGTTTTTATTTTTTGAAGCACAATAACATCAACTGTTGATGCTGTGCGTCAAAAAAGTCGGCTAAAGTTGTTTTTTCAACCGATGAACTGAATAATATTATATAGCATTTTTCAAGGGTAAAAATGGCATTTTTCAATGGAACTGTAAACTATGCAACGCTGTAACACAAAAACAAGCTTTGCGCTCGAGATTAAACTTTCACTTGAGGATTTTCTCATTATAAGGTTTCGTTTAGGCAAACCTAATCGAGGAAATCTTTGGAAATTAAAATTGCCAATAAAATTGTTAAGCAATTACCTCTCTCACTCTTTTATTTTGTCTTTTGGAAAGGAGTCATTCTTTACATTACTAAGAAAGAAGACTGAGAAAATATTATGGGTAAAAAATTGAAAATTATGAACACAGTCATTATGCTTACTTAAAAAAACGACGGAACCCAGCCGATATATGCAAAGGACAGCTCTGCGAGAGTGATGTACTTCCTACGAAAATTAACAAGCATTGTGCGAGTAATTTTAAAAAACGTCTCAGGGGGCGAAAGTCCTAGCCTGGGGGCATGTGAAATCCCAAACGCGAAGTTCGAGTTTTTTTTGCGGTTAGCCGTTGTTATGTTGCGGGAACATTGTCACAATTTCTACCACTAAAAAAAAATTTATTTCGCCTCACAAACTCGCATTCGATGTCTTAATTGCTCCCATTTCAATGAGTATTAATAATTTCAAAATCTTTTGACACTTTTTCACAAGTTTTTGAAACTAAATTTGTCAGTAGTGCGCCTGGTATTGAAATGCAAAAATTGATTATTAGTAATTTAAAATGGTAGCAAAGGCACAGAAAGAGTGGAAATTGCGGATCAAACAGAAAAAAACTATTGTTCAATTTCAGTTGAGCCGCATTTTCAGGATCGTCCCAAACTATTCATGTAATCTTGATTAATTTCATTATCAAATTAGCGTGTTGAGCTTGAGTTCACTATCGTAATGCACTAGAGGCTATAGTGCCACTATGAGACGGTATAATTAAGTTCATCGAATTTAAGGGAAGGGGGGGAGAGAAGAAAAATTGGAAGATCAATTAAGCGATCTACCCCCAAACCATTATCATCGGTTGAGCGACGAATGGTTGAAAATGGACTAGAAACCGGGGTAGCATGAAACGAAAAAAAAATATGAAAGATTTGAAATAATATCACATGAAATTTTAAATAGGTTGTGAAATTTTTGAAATACTAGGGGGGCTATACTCTTATCGCTTCGCGGTCCAACCCCCCGAAGCGGTTCTCGCCTTAGGCGTTTTGCGTGGCGAGTTATTTTTATAATACATTTTACATTAACAATCACTTCAGGTGCAAAGTATGCAACCCACACTGAAAAATACCTGACGACACGCGCGCAAAGTACCCTATTTTATTTCATTAAACCATGGATTTTCATTTGTTTCTGAGATGAGAAACAAAAATAAGTAAAATGATGACGCATCCAAAGAATATTGACAGCGTTTTCTTCATTATTTAGCGAGGGCTGATAATTGACAATTTTAAACATATTTCTCATTCAATTCATAGAGTTCCTGAAATATTGCACGTGAAATTTTACGATTATAATTATTCATAAAATTTTGCCATTCTGCAGGCTGATCATTGAATTTGATGGACGTAGCCATAGGCAAACAAAATAAAAAGAAAATGGAGCGATCATATTGGTAGAAGTGGGTCGTTGGAATGGCCAAAGAAGATATAAGCAATAGATTAACTGGATAAAATTTAGCATGAAAGAGCCAGCGCGATTACAGTGTTTTCAAAATCGTGGAATTTTTACTTTTCTTTTAAAAATACTTAATATGTCTACGGTATTAAAACTAACACTATTATTTTCCTTTAAAACGAACAGTTTTCCGGTGGAAAATGAAAACTATTTGCTATTCTGGGAGATTTGCTGATAATTATGAAGACGCAACATTTTTACAGCACTGTAATCGCGCTGGTTCCTTTTTGCTAAATACGATCCAACTAACTGCAAGTCACGAGCGACCCTGTAGATACGTCTATTCCTTTCCCCATTAATCTTTAACAACTGTATCCATTTCAACCACGATCGCTGCATTTGCCTGTCGTTTTCTTTGTCTATCGCTATATCCATCAAAACTCAATAACAAACTCGCTGTCAGAAATTCCTGATCAGGTCAGGCTAGGTGCAATCGAGCGAATGAGGCGATAACGAGACGCCACCTCGCATTGACCCCGGGCGGGAACGAACTGCAATCATCATCACTATCACCAAGCCCCATCTCGAGGCGCTATAGACAGGGGTCAGAGACAAACCTATCGAGACGACCGCGACAGGGCGCGAAAAAAAAAAAACGCAAACAAACAGAAAAAGCCCGCAGAAATATTTACGAGGCGCAAACTTGCGAAATGACGCTTCACATGACCTGCGGTCGGCCCCACCGGGGGGAGGAGGGGGGTTGCCCGAACAAACACCTCGCGGGAGGGACGGAGGGGGCTCTCTTTATCCGCGATTGAAAACACTTGTCATCGGCGAAAATCCTTGAGAAAAACCACTCAACGCGAGATGGACCTTTTTCAACACTTTTCCGACACTCGGGCGATGCTAATCCTTCGCGCCTCGCATACCTTTCCGCACTTGGCGCGACTTATTGAAGTGTGAAAAGAAATGCTCTCTTCCCGGCCGGGCCCCCTCCCGCGTGCCTGGGTCCCGGGCGCCCGCCCAATGGGAGCCCGCCGCCCGGGTGGGCCCCGCTCCCATTGGGCCTGGCCCCACGCCAGCCTCCCGCGGCCCCGCCCCGCTGCCGCTCATAGGCCCCGCGTCGTTCCCAATGGCCATCCCGGCATCTGGGTCTGCTTTATCTCCCTCGCGAGTTCCCCCGGGCTATTTTCCGCTCAACGGTCAGGATTTTAATGACCCTCTCGTACTGGGAAAAACGCCGTATGAACCTAGAGGCCTTGCCAAATTTCCTTCGATGAAAAACTAAGTTTCAGAGGAAGTTTAATTCTTTTTTCTTCCAATTTTTCGGACGATTTTGTTCGGTATTTAATATAAGGCGTCTGAAAATTTAAAGGAAAAATATGCATAACTTTCTTTTAAAGCCATGTTTTATCAAGGGAAATTTGGCAACTCTCGAATGCTCATACGGCGTTCTTCCTTAGCACGGCAGCATAGAGATCCGAAAATTAAACGAGGGAATTGTTCGACGTTCGACGGAAATTTAAAAACCATTTAATTACGTTGTTCCCCAGAGGAAAGAGCAAAACTACAACTCAACGTTACGAGATTTCCCGCTGAAACATTGTGTTTTTAACCAGGGTTGCCCAGGTGAAGTGAAAAATATGAAAGATAGGAATTTTTGTGAAATATCATACATGAAATTGCATAATGCCGTGAAATAAATTATATTTTTCAGGGCTAGAGTATGCAACCCGCAATCAAAAACAGATCTGAGGCAGAAAAAAGAATGATTTGTGTGTTTTAGGGAACATGGAAAGCAGACATAGAATAGCGATGTCGATTATCGAAGTACAAAACCACGAATCTCCATTTGCAACGTTGTAGACTTCCTGGCATACTTTATTTTTTCTTCGGAAAAGTAGTCGACGTAATTTCTTGGAATCTGCCTAGATTTTTCTGTTCTATACCAGCAGTATTTCCTGTATGAATTTCAAGCTTTGAAGTTGGCTTGTTTCCCTCCAAAAAAACAATATCGGAGCAGAAATTTTGAAACGCTATAATGGAATTACGAGGTTTTGTACTTACATTGGAAAAAAAGTCGCTTGGATGTAGAGTCCAGATCTTAAAAATATATTGACAAGAAATGCTCTTGATTCAATCGGACTTTTTCCTGGAATTAAAAGGGAATCCGCCTAAATCAAGAGGCTTGGCTCTTCGATTCAAGCAAGATTGAATTAAGAGCGCATATTTTCTTGTCAACGTTATTAAGAGTCTGGACTCAGGATCCAAGCTACTTTTTTTCCAGTGTACGCCATCGATATGTATAGTGTACACCTTAATGATGTTAATTAAATGCATTTTAATGTTTCATTAGAGTCGGAAGTCTATATACGCAACGACGCAACGTATTATTCAACATCTTTCATACATGTATAAAATCTTATGAAAATTTTACATGAAATTTCAAGGTATAATTCTCTATGAAAAATTGCAACTAGGAAAATGTTAGACATTTTGGACAGGAAAATTGCAACTACGAAAATGTTAGACATTTTGGTTGAACCGGAATCATACAGACTGCGCATTTCACGTTGCCTCATTGTTGCTCGTGTTTTATTTTCGTGGCAAAGAACTATAATCTACTTATCGTCTTCGAGCTCTTCTCGAATTCACCCTTGGTTATGAAGAGTTTTCTTACAAAATGTCAAAAATGCTTCTCTGTTGCTTGGTTTTTAGTTTAAAGAATAAAACATCGCGGAGAAAATTAGGGAACGTCTGAGGAAGTTACGCTGAACGCAGATTCCTGTCGAAGCCGTTAATTTTAGATTGAAAATAGGTATGTGAAAAAACGACCAATAAAAATGGCTCATTTTCGAATTTTGAACTTTTGACGAGATAGAGTATTTCCCGAGACGCCTGAAACCGGTCGCGGTCTTCGAAGCGCCGGGGTGCGACATTGCCAAATTTAAAAGTTAAAAACCTTTAAAAATTCGCAACTCCGTTGCATCTCATTCGATTTCCGATGAACCCTTTTTTTTAAATTTTTCTCTTTAATAGAGCTTTCCAATGGTGCATAGGTATTTGGATCTACTTAGCACTGGACAACACCACGTGGTTTTAGCAGTTTTTGGTGTACACAAAATTGGTTTTTATTTTACTACAATTGTGGCAACGACGGAGTTCGAACAAAAAACAGTCTAAATGAAAGTTAAGGCGTATCACGATGTTTGAATGAGTCCCAGAAAGCATTCATTCTTACGCGAAACAGGGTTCATGCAGGTATCGAGATACGACCTTACGTCAGGGGAGCGACGATTGAGCCTCACGAAAGCGTCAACGTTCGCTTTCGCATTTTCCGAGCGATGACTCTCGGACCTTGGTCCATTCGGAGGGACCGCGTAGTGAGGATGAGGAGGAGAAGGGGGAAAATGTCAACATTGTTGCCAAGTTGTACTTAAATTCGAATCGTATACAAATTGATGTACTGGGAGTCGAAATATAAGCAATAATTCGGTCAATGACACGCACAGATTCAATAAAGGAAGCGTATAGGGGACACATGCCCCCGGTCTTCCCGAGAAAACGGGAAAACACTTCTGCGGGCTGATTATTGAAATTGATAGACATAGCGATAGACAAAGAAGACATAGGGGGTATGGAGCGATTCTATTGGTTGGAATGGATGGTCGTTATAGACTAAGAGGGAAAATGATAAACTGACTAAAGTTCTCTTGTCATGTCGGTTGCCGTTTGTTATTCTATCACCTTTGCCCATTGCTCCCATTCCCTTCGACCAATAGGATCGCCTCATTTGCCCCATGTCAGCTCTGTCTATAGCTTTGTCTATCAATGTCAATAATCAGTCCGCAGAGGGATATTCCACACCCCCTAGACACCCACGATGTGTGTTCAAAGAAAATTCCTCATCTTCGAAATAACGGCTGGATCCACCAACGGTCAATGCCGAACGACATATGCCGTAACAAAAAATTAAAAAATAGAAATGGATGAGGTATTGAGGTTTAACTATCAAGTTACTACAAGTTAACTACAAGTTTAATTATCAGGGAAATAAGCAATTTGAAATATTATCTCCATGTCGATGGCTGAGGAACAATACGGTGTAACTTAAAACTGGCGACCTTTATAGGACAAAGAGATAACTTCGGCATTTTTGCATTTTTGAGGTTGGGTCTGCAATTTTTTTTATACATTACACCGTCATTACAGCGCCCCCATGCGAAATGGTAGGAAACTAGGAACATCAGTTTGCGTATTTGATACTGTAGAGAGCGGCAAATTCATTAACTCATTTTCGCCAAAATTGTCAGTTAGATATGATAAGTTCAGAAGGCGTACCTATATCGGCTCTGGAAACCGAGCCCCCAGCGGAGCGAGCCGACTTTATCGGCTTCGATCCACCAAACTATGATTTGGTGAAGCAAAAGTTCAGTTTATCAAACAGAAATATCCGTATACAACATGTTCCAAAAAGACTGAAGTTTTTTAGTCTGTTGCACTGAAACCTTCGGTTCAGCGTACGTTAAGTATGATTCTGTCCACCGAAGTTATCGGTTCGCTCGACTTACGGCTCAGCCGTCTGAACCGAAGAATGCCTGCTGAAGTTGTCGGTTCGTATATAAGCGAGATTTTTTTCTCCTTGCAGTTCCTCAAGAATAATCCAAACGCTAGGATCTAACTCGATGTAAAGATGGATCTATGGAGGGAGAGAGAACAGTTGTTGGACGTATTTCTGTCAAACGGAACTATGTGCATTAGGACATGAACCCTGAGACCCATGAGAATATTGTCACCTTCCAGGCAAAGTATCACAAGCGCCATGCGACGTTTAAAAATTTCCGCCGCCATTTTATTTCTTTACTGAGAAATTGTTGGTTGAATCTGTTTGGAAATTTCACTAAATTTTATCGGCTGCAGCACAAAGAAAATTCAGTGAAATTTTCGGACAGCTTTTTTGAACAATTTCTCTGTAAAAAATAAAAAGGCGGCGGAAATTTTTAAACGTCGCATGGCGCTTGTGATACTTTGCCTGGAAGGTGACGATATATGCAGCAGGGCTCACGTCATAATGCACATAGTTCCGTTTGGCAGAAATACGTCCAATTATTCTGTAGTCGACGGACAAATGGATGATTTTGAACTTTTAAGTAATATGTTGGGTGAATTCCAAGGATTTTGACACTTAGTTGTTAGGTGGATCATCTCACGAAAGGGAATAGAGGTAAGGGGTCCTTCCCCAAGTTGTAGAGAGTGCAATACATTGCAATTACATAGTAAAATCATCGCTACTGGATTAGAGTGCTAGGTATATAGCATATACACACTAATTGAAGGGGATCCTGAGGACTTTAATGCGTAAAATTGAGATCATTCGAAATTGTTCTTTGCATTGCATATTTTCTATCTATCTGACACATGAAACTTGTTTTGTTGATTGTTTAAAATCAGCATTTTTCTGACCAAATGGTGTAAAAATACCGCAATTTCATAATAAAAAAAATTGAAATTTCATCGCGTTAAATCTGTTTTATCTTCTTGCGTTACATTCCGTATTTTCATTGCTATTTGGGTTCTTCATGGTGTATCAATGCTTTCAAAGTGTAACCCTTTAAGTCATGGTGTTACTTAGTCGTAACCATAGGCGTAGCTAGACCATTTTGCTGGGGGGGGCCTGGCCCCCCACCACCGGGGGGTCTGGGGGGTATGGAATACTCCCCAGGTCAGCGGGGGGTCCGGGGGGCCTCCCCCGGAAAATTTTTCAAATTTTAACTCTATTTGAGCGCATCTCGAGGCACTTGTGGCGTTAATCTTCCTTCAATTTCTGCATAAAATTCACCCAGTTTTATGCATTTTAAGGTTGAAATACTTTGAAATTGTTGCATTCAACAGGTTATTCCATTTATTTTCTCACTTTTAACCACTCATTTGTGTGAAAAT